TTATTCAACAATATCCTAAAAAAGGCCGATAAAATAAATGAGATCTATGAGGATATGAAAAGGGAGCAACTAGAAATAATAAGGGATCAACAAGAAATGAAGAAAATATTGTCTGAAATAAAAAATATTATACAAAGTCCTAAAAACAGACTGGAAGATCACAAGAATCAAGACAAAGATTTAGAACACGAAGAGCCAAAGGACACTCCTCTGTAGAAGGGAGAAGATGAGAGAATCCAGAAAGTTGAAGATAGTGTAAGAAACCTCTGGGACAATTTCAAGCGAACCAACATCAGAATTATGGGGATTCCAGAAGAAGAGAAAGAGCAAGATACTGAAAGAATACTGGAAGAAATAGTGACAGAAAACTTCCCCCACCTGGGGAAAGAAATAGACTTACAGGTCCAGGAAGCCTGCAGAACCCCAAACAAAAGGAATCCAAGGAGTTCCACACCAAGGCACATCATAATTAAAATTCCAAGAGCAAAAGACAAAGAGAAAATATTAAAAGCAGCAAGAGAAAAGCAGGTAGTTACCTATAAAGGAGCACCCATACAATTGTCAGCTGATTTCTCAACAGAAACCATGCAGGCCAGACGGGAATGGCAAGAAATATTCAAGGTGATGAATAGCAAGAACCTACAGCCAAAAATAATCTACCCAGCAAAGCTATCACTCAGAATCAAAGGACAGTTAAAGAGCTTCACAAATAAAAAGAAGCTAAAAGAGTTCATCACTGCCAAACCAGAATTATATGAATTGCTGAAGGAGGTTATTTAGGAAGAGGAAGAAGATAAAGATAAAAATTATGATCAACAAATACGTAACTATCAACAAGTGAATCTAAAAACCAAGGGAATAAAAAAAATCTGATGAACAATATTAACTGGTGAATATAATAGAATCAGAGGTATGGAAGGGGAGTGGACTGACGATTCTCAGGGAAAAGGGGATTCGGGGTGTGGGAAGAGACTGAACAAAAACTGCACCTATGGAGGAGGACAATGGGGGTGTGGAAAGGACAGAGGGTGGGGTGGGAACCTAGTGGAGGGGAGCAATTGAGGGGGGAGGAGGATCACATTTGTAATAATCTGAACAATAAAGATTTATTTAAAAAAAAAAAAAAGAGCAACGTGGAGTAAGAAATACATTTCTGAGGGTTTGGAAAACTTGTTAAAAAAAAATATCGTTTTTACAAGAAACCAGAGAATTCTAACATGCCATGTCTAGAATGGTCATAAAAAATAAAAATAAAAAACTGGACTACTGCAATTAATTTTAGAACCTATCTACTAGGGAGAGAAAATGAAGTTGGAGTATTTTAGGAAACAAAGACTCATTGACCGAAGAAGGTTCAGCAACATGACACAAAGAACCGGTCAAGATCAGCCTGACCCTAAATATGCCTCCAGCCCTGAGACAGTTTGGCGATGAAGACCAGCTGTGATGGCCAAAGTCTGAATGTGACTAATACTCATATTAGCCAGATAACAAAATCGTTATTGTCTGTCATGATGGTTTCCATTTGTGGAGAGCTTTCTGGCACAGGCATACCTTGGAGATATTGCTGGTCCGGTTCAGAACACCGCAATAAAGTAAGGCATAAGCTTTGCTTATGGAGGGTCTTGTCTTCGATTTGTAAAAAAAAAAAAAAAAAACCACACGCAACATCTGTGAAAGCGCAATAAAGCGAAGTGCAATATAGCAAGGCACGCCTGTACTTCCAATTCTTCTACACTCATCTCATTTGATCCTTACAAATAAGGCATGAGATGGCTCCCATTTTACAGATGAGGCTATAAGGCACAAAAAGTACACTTTCTTGTCCAAAGTCAGATAGCTAGATAGTTTGTGGCCAATATATTAAAACACCAGTCCTCCTAACTTTCAGTCCCCTGTTGTATTTGCTAAGAGACCAACCCCATGATAAACTGTGAGAGGAAATACATGCAGCAGTTGGGCTTGGGGGGTCAAGGAGGGGGAAGTCTTGCCTTCACACTTGATGTTAATTATATTTGTTCTTCAGTGTTGCTAATGAAATCATGACAGTGTTACACATGCCAGTATTGACTCTCCCGAGAATCAACATTAGGCAGATATCTCTGGGCTGTGTCAAGTTGAACTAGATAACTTCATTAAAATCATGTTAGTCCCCAACGTGCAACTGAAAACCAGGTAGCTAAAATGGAGTCGTGACGTTTAAAAACCAAATGGCTGTGTGAAACTCTCAATCTTTCTTTTTCTAAATGTTAAAATGTTGCTGGTTTTTTATTTCTTGCTAAAGCCATTAAGCAGTAGAAAGTGTATTGACTAAGAAGAGATGGGTCCTAGCCCTAGCTCTGCCACTAATCAGCTAGATGGCTTTGGTAAATCACTTAACTGGGCTGGGCCTCACTTTCCAGATCTGTGAAATGGGGACAGCTGCAATTCCTGTCTTGCCCATCTCACAAGATGGTTGTGAGGATGGAATTAGACAGGAGCACCCATGTGTCTCAGGACTTCTAAGTGCCTTGCTCACTAACAATCTCCAAGACTTATGCACACACTTGTTTTGTGATCTTGGGCAAGTTGCTCATTATGTTCAAGCCAGTTTCCACATGTGTAAATTGTGCTCACAAAACCCTACCATATTGTGTTGTTAGGAGGATTATAATGAGGCAATATCTGTAAGGTACTTGGTGCAACGCCAGGCACAAAAGTAGGTGTCAATGAATATTTGCAGGTCCAGGGAACATGGTAGGATCCAAGTGTCAAATGCCATTACCAGACAGAGCACTGACCCCAGACTGCTTTTCCCCTTCCTGGTTCTCTCTGCTTTGTCTGCTCTTCACTCTAAGGAAGGGACATGGCAAAGGGACACTCTGTGCACACACACAATGGTGTTAATGTCACAGCCTGTTCTGGGGACCTTTCCCACCCCAGGATGGCTTCTCTAGGTGCCCCTGGTCACGTGTTAAGGTTGCTTTTATTGGGGTGTGCCAGGGTTGGTGCTGGAAAATGGAATCAGGATCTTTGAGATGCTGGCTTTCCTGACATACAGGGTGATGTGTACAGTTTTAAAGTCCTGTCCCCTTCCCACCCTTACTTCCTGTGCCAGGATAGCTGCGAACCTTGCACAGCTGCCTTTTCTCCACAATCAGAGGTCAACACGAAAATACAAGTGGGAGAGGCGAATATGCAAACTATCACGAAAGATCTGGTACATAAGCAACTTGATCATGAGGGCAGATCCGGGAGGGTGGTAATGAGTGGGGTGCAAGGGAGGGAGTTCTGGGAATTGGAAGTCAAGGAGAGACGGGACCAGGGATTAGGTGAAGGAAACAAAAGAGAGCTTGGACAAGGGGAAAAAAGTTTCACCCCTTTCACAGTTTTTCTGAAGGTTCTTCTTGATCATTAGCAGCTATTGGACATTCCTTCTGCCATCTGGGCAAACGGTGCTTCATCCATCCAGAGAGCTGGATGTCCTGTTTCTTAAAATGAAACATGTCAAGTCAAAGCAGTGCCTCTGCCCCAGATCCTGAAGGGTTTGAAAGGCCTGGCCACATTCCACGAATCCCAAAATACAGATTTTCTGTCCAGATTAAAGGCGGCGAAGCCAGACAAGTGGAGCACAGCCCTGGCCTGAAGTCTCATGGGAGATTCTAGATGGGAGGACAGAGACTATGAGCTGAAGCCGGTCAGAAGAGGCCTTGAGGACCATATTGCATTGGACACTTAAAAACTAACAAACGTGTTTACCAACCGCACAATACATGTTCTTTCTAGAAACATAAGAAAATATAGATAAGCACGAGGGAAAAAACAATCCCCATGTGCTCACCAATTAAAACTGCTCATATGGCCGAAACCAGTTTGGCTTAATGGATAGAGCGTTAGCTTGGGGACTGAAGGGTCCCAGGTTCGATTCCGGTCAAGGGCATGTACCTTGGTTGCGGGCATATCCCCAGTAGGGGGTGTGCAAGAGGCAGTTGATTGGTGACTCTCTCTCATCGATGTTTCTAACTCTATCTCTCCCTTCCTCTCTGTACAAAATCAATAAAATATATTTAAAAAAATAAAATAAAATAAATAAAACTGCTCATATGTTTGTCTATAGAGAGACAAGACAATCAATCGTCCGTGGTTCTGGGGCCTTCCTGCTGGTGCCGAGCCCCGCTTCCCCCAGTACCTGCAAAAAAGCTGCAGAGAAATTAGCCTGGATGGACCCATTTCCTCCTCTGTACATTAGAGATGATGATAATAATGACTTACAGGGGTATTTGTAAGAATGAAAGAAGCTAAAGTAGTAGTGTTTAAACCATTGCCTGAAATATAGGAAGCATTGCACATATGATAGCTATAAGAATAATAGTTATTTTATTCTCTTTCTAGGCTTTTTTACAATATAGCATACAAAAAATATTATATATATTTCTATGAAAATGGGGTAATACTTTTGACTTTGGCAATGCTTTCATTCTCATGATCATCCTTTCACAGACAGATTTGTTATTAACATTAGCTAACATTGATTGCTTCCAGGGGAGATAGGCCTGATGCTAAAGAGTTTTACATAAATTGTCATACTTAATCCTCACAATAACTGTGGAGTATAAGTACTGTTATGACCATTTTACAGATGAGAAAACCAAGGCTAAGCAATTTAAATTATTTGAGTATATAGAACCACACATTTACCTCAGCCCCAAGATAACCAGGATCAGGGCCAAGGCATTGCCAGTGGATGAATTTTAATTGGCAAGTCTTTGCTCAGACCCCACCATGTGAAGCCCTGACTGGGAAGACAAGGGGAACAAAGCAGGCAGGAAGACAGTACCCATGAGAGCAGAGCTCACAGTGGAAAGCAGGTTGTGTGGTTCAGATGACTGGTGTGAGCATGTATTGGTTCAATGTGAGAGTTTGGTCGTACCATGGGTGGGGACCCTTCGGGATGCCTTGATCAGGGGTATGATAGAATGACAGTGACATTGTAATGACTAACCCCTTCTCTCTCAATCTAGGAGCAGCTCGGAGAGGAGGAAGGAGAAGTCTCGGGATGCAGCAAGGTGCCGAAGGAGCAAGGAGACGGAGGTTTTTTACGAGCTGGCCCACGAGCTGCCCTTGCCTCACAGTGTGAGCTCCCACCTGGACAAGGCCTCCATCATGCGGCTGGCTATCAGCTTCCTGCGAACACACAAGCTCCTGTCCTCAGGTGAGGCTGCTAGACGCGCCCAGTAGGCTCCGTGGTGTCAGAGTTAGAAGGCCACTGGGAAGGTCTCCCCACCCAGGAACTCCCACTCTGCAAAACTTCCACCCACAGACACACCATCATCAGTGCTTTACTCCTTCATGTTACACCCCTCCCTTCCAGCAATGACCTTTACCCTGAATATAGCTGTGAGATGAGGGGCAAGGATGGGACCAAAGAAATGCATGGGCACCTGGAGGCTAAAAAGAGAGGGGGCTGGGAGAACAAAGCAGCTTGTGCTGGCCTCTCAGCTGCCTTCCCATTGGCTGTATCTCCCAGCTAACTTCTCCAAAAGGACAGAGATGTGCCCAGGCGGTCTTCCCCACTTCCTAGCTAATATGCCAGGTCAATTATTTGGTGCCTCTGCCCTTGGTTTCCTCAACTGTAAAAAGAGGTTAGAAATGCATGTTGCATAGGGTGTCGGTGAGAATTAACCAAGATGCTGTCTTTAAGGCACCTGGCCCAGCCACACTCATTCATGCTGGGGTGTTTTGACGATAACAACCTCATTCTCACCCTCCCTGGTATCTCTGTAAGTCTCAAGTTTACAAAACATTTTTCCCCCCAGAGTTTACATTCTTCATAAAGCCATTTCCTGTTAGTCCTGACCCAAAGAGACGGCCTCAGGAATTTCCCAGTTTCAGATCCTACTCGACAGTCCCCACTTAGTTGTCAATTTTGTAAGGAATCGGGCGGTGGGTAGTGTCGCCTGTTGTGGCACTCCAGGTTGGCAGCATCCAAGGTAGTGAGGGCACGGGAGGCGGGCAGGGCAGGGAAGGCTCTTCAGTGGTTGATTTTCGGTTTTCCTGAGTGAGCAGGGTACCTCTGAGCCGGGTGGATTCCGCCATCCTGTTATGAAGTGGCTATTCTGGGAAAGGAACCCTGAGCAAGGGGAATCCAGCGTGAGGTTGGGAGGCCAGACGGACAAATGCTATTCTGGGCCCGGGAGCACAGGAAGGATGTGAGGAAAAGACTTTCAGAAAATAGGATGACAGCTCAGTGGGACCGAGGGTTGGAGGGCTCAGCCTGTACTGTGAGTGCAAAGAGTCTTGGAAAAGTACAGACAGGAGGAGGGGAACCAAGGGCACAGACGGACTCTATAAAATACTTTCAAGGAAACAATGCAGAGCGCGGTCACACATGCTAGAGAAAGAGGGAACCATGGGCCGAAGTGTAGGAAGGGTCTGGTGATGCCATCTCAGGGGACACGTGTACCTCTTCCTTTTAAAGAGGCTCATCTCCTGGGACCGTTCAGGGCAATATCTGAATCTGCTCTGCAGATACACAGAGCCGGCAGTGGAAAATGGTGAAGACCCTTCCTGTCACCCAGGAACATCTTCTCAACTTCCTAATGATGGTACTAGAAATTCTGCTCTTAGACATTGATGCCTTTGGGTTAATCATTGCTTCCTTCCACCACCATCCCCCATTCCTCCACTGACAGAGAGCCCCAGAAAGGTTAATATGTTAGTCCTGGGATACCTCTCGGATTGAATGTGGACCGTCGAACGTTTCACAGATGATGAAACCAGGAACACAGAGAAGCCAAGGTTGCCCGAAGTCACACATTTGGGACAGGGCAAATATGTGCCTGAAATTCAAGTCGTTCTATGTTCTTGGCCCATCTTGGGGAAAACACCCAGGAGGGCAGGTCCTTTCTGCAACCCGGGCAGGTGCAGATGTTGGCAAGGACCGGGTGTGTGTGGAAGAGGAGGGGACAGAGAGGACCAGAGCTGACATGTTAAATGGAGGTGCTTGGGGCTGACCCTGAGCCATGGGGAGGGGAGGAGGTCCTCACACATTTGGCGAGCTGTTCCTATCCTTTCTCTCAGTGCGTGGCCTTGTTTTCATGTTCTCCCACCCATAAGCCTCTCCGTGATTCAGAAGCTGGCTTAGAGAGGACCCTGCATCAAAGGCTGAGCACATAGTGCACGTATGGAACGGGAACCCCTGTGCGCCAGACACGCCAAGGGAGATAGGAGCAGAGTGGCCACAGCGAGACCTCACACGTCTCCGCTCGGGGAGCCTTTGTTGCAAGTTGTGGACACAAACTGCCTGCCCTCTGGCTGGGCTCAGCCCCGGACCAACAAGAGTCCTCAGCATGTCAGCTCTGGTCCTCTCTGTGCCAAAGTAAGAGATGGCAGGAAGGGATACAAAGCCATCTGGTCCTGGTGTCCTTGAAGGAGCAGTTCTCATACAGCAAGCACCGCCCGGGGGAGGAAGAGATGGATGGCTTTCGGTGTCCCTTTCTCTCCCCTCCCTCCCAGGCTCACTCCCACCACACATTCCCTCAACCTGTTGTTGAAATTGTTTCCAGGAATTGTGTGGGAGACACAGGACCTTTTTCTTTCCGAGTCACAGTTTACTTTTTCAACACACATGGCTCAGTGAGAAGGAGCAAGGGTTTGTGGGCAGATAGACCCCAGTCGGAATCTGAGTCTGGCTGCTTTTTCTCTGCAGCCTTGTGGGAATTTCTTTCCTGTCTTTGAGCTTGACTTTCCTCCTCTGCACAGAGGGGATAACAGGACTTACCAAGTAATGCTGATAAGGATTGAGATCACAGATATAAAAACCCATATCCTCTTGCCTGCCACATATGAGGCTCTGGATAAGTGATGGCTTAAAAATGGAAATTACTAGGAACAAGTAAATCATTCTATAATCAGTATATATAAATAATATATATGATAACTATACTATCCTCTTGCCTACCTTGTGGCAAATTCTGTCAAAATGTAGAGTTGCCACGCTTTTCCAGGTCAAAATAGACTCATTATTGAAACATTTCTAACAAAGGTGAGGCTGATGTTGGTTCGTTTTGTAATAGGAAATAGCTGGTTGCATACCTCAGAGTTCAAAAGGCGAAAAAAGGCCAGGCTTTTGCTTTAGAAAAGTTTCTTCTTTACTTAGTAACACGTTTCCCTTTGATTCTCACAGTAGGCTGTTCTGTGTGGGAATGTTGGAAAGGAAACCTCAACGCTAAGAAATTCAGGCTAGGAGTCTGGGCTGCCGATTGAGATTTGTATCACAGGAAGCAAACTCAAACAATAGCTTTATGATATTAGCTTCCACGCTGGGCCGAGAACAGAACACACTCTGACAGGAACATCGGTGGAAATACCACTTGATTGTCTTAAATCCTCTTTCAAGATGAGCCCTGCAAACCATGGCCAGATGAGGGTCACTTCTGCATTTCGCAGGGCACTGAACCACTGTAAATACACAAAATTGGCTTTTCACCCTAAAACAAATTTTTTTTTAATTTTTTTTTTTTACTTCCCCACACTCGTATGGGGTGACATCAAATTCATTTTCCACGAAAGCTGGGGTTAATGTCAAGCAAGTTTTCTAAAGAGAATTGTCAGGTTGATTATTGATTCATTGGCATTTGCTTAGTGAAGACATCAGTCTTAATAAGAGATTCTGAGTTCCTGATCTTTAGACTATTCCAGGAAAGATATTCAAATATGGGACAAAGACATTTTAATTTTTACTGTGACTTGTTCATGCAGAAAGAATGGAACCACAGGGAGGGAGTAATGGAGGCTTGTTTTCCTAGGTTTTCACTCCCTACTTTTTTACAACTCCCCCCTGCCCCCTTGTCTCAGTCACCCTCCAAACCAAGGCCTTTTTCTGTCCTGTTTGGAGAGGAGCTGATAAGATGATTCAGGCTAGGATGTTAATGTCCAAGAGTAGCTAATGGATAATCTCTTCTAGAGAAACTGACCTTGTGTAGATCATTTCCTTAAGACTTAAACCAAAGAAGGGTCTGGTCAATCAATAGGTATTCACTAACCCCAGTCCTGAGCTATGGCTTATGAAGGTTAATTCAGAAAGGTAAGATAGACTAGTAGGTAAAGAACAAAGGAGTGAATCTCTAAGGGTGAACTTTCAAGGCCATCGGAGAGGCCAGAAATAAAGGTGAAACTAATACCTTCTGCCAAAGTGGAGTGGAGCCCAAGCCTGCTACCTGGGGACAGAGGCGTGTACAGGTGTGGCTAATGATCCAGTAAAGGACCCCAAAATAATTTCCTTGCAGCATCGAAGACTACTCTTGCAGCCCGTACCCCCTAGGAATTGGGGATGGGGTGGCTGTGGCCCTGGGAGGGCTGGAAGAGAGGAATCGGTCTAGAAGGAATGAGAACTAAGTGGAGACTGTCTGCCGAGCACATCGGAACCAGGAAGATCTCAGCAGAATTGCTTTTACACGAAGAGTCAAAGCAGCGCTGGGATCTCTCAGAGTAGGAAAGACAGAGGGACAGCACCTTGCCGCAGCCTGGTCAGGAGCGTGTGCCCTGCCACCCCGCCACTCATCCCAGACGCCCAGCTCCTGCTGCCCAAGGGCCCACCCCACACGGGTGGTACTAGCCTGAAGGAAATGAGTGGTGCTCCGGAAAAAGTGCTCCGAAACCTAAGCCCGCGCACATCCTGGCTGTGGGGAGTCATCAAAGCCTGTTTACAGGGGCTATTTTTAGCATTAAAGGATCTCGTTGTGCTCCCTGGGCTGCGCGGGCTGCCGCTCAGCAAAGTGCCTCTGATTGTGGTGGCCTGCCCTCCTCTTTGGGGTCAGACTCTGAAGGGGCTTGGGAAGCAAGAGACGGACCGAGAACCCGAGGCCGTTGGAAGACACCCGTGGGCCGCGTGTGGAGCGCTCCCGGGGGGCTCTATTGGGGTCTCTCTCCCCTGCTGGATAGCCTCACAGCAGTGTGTCTGTCTCCACCCGCACCGTCCAGGCCCTTGGAGGAAAGGGTTGCTCTCACACCTCTCCACACCCTGTACTCCCTAAGACAGGACTGAGCACAGAGTGACACTTGGAGCCAGATACCTAATTTTCTGCTTTGTGACTAGTCCAGGGCAGACATGTACATACGAGGGGCATAATAAGTGCATAGCTAGTTTCCCATGTGCCTAACATTGAGCCGGAGATTGGCCATGCATTAGGGAACGCACATGCTCACAGGAAAGAGCGAGAAAAGGCAGCGGAGTCTTCAGCCGAGACTGATGTTCATGACCCCTGGCCTCTTGCATGAAAGTCTGCCTCTATCTCACAGTCTTCACCCTCGGCTCCAGCTGACAGGGAGCCAGCCAGGTTCCTTCAGCGGCCCCCAGAGGATAAGCAGGTGCTGTGGGAGCAAACAGTCCCACAGAGGAGAGAGGCCTGGCTGTCCCCGGGTCCCCAGGGGCCCGGCCTGCTGGCTTCCTGGTCCTCCAGCCATTGTGACTTCAGTTCCAAGACGTTCTGTTTCCATTCATGGCCCCCCGAGTGTTCCTCTCCCTTCCCGCCAGAGGCCAGCTGGCCCGCTGCTGCAGCTACTTTCACCACCTCGTGGAGGCAAGTGTCCTGGGCATGGATGGAAACCAGAGTAGCTCTGTCAGAACTGTTAAAAACAGGAAATTTTAAGCAGAACTATTTCCTCTGGGCCTAGTTAACTCAAATAAGGTTGTCTTGGGATCACTCCAGATTTTGAAGTCAGTGTTGCCACTGAGATCAAAGAAATTAAAGAGAGAGAAGAGAGAGAGAGAGAGAGAGAGAGAGAGAGAGAGAGAGAGAGAGAGAGAGAAACCTCCTTCATAGGAGAGAGAGAGAGAGAGAGAGAGAGAGAGAGAGAGAAACCTCCTTCATAGGCCAGAAATCACAGGGCTGGCCTCTGCTGTCTGGAGGAGGGGGTCACCTATCTGGTGTCACTTAAAGGGTACTGAAAGCCTCTCCTCACCCACCCCAAAATAGGTCACCCCCTGCCAAAACAGGTGATTCAACCAGCATTGGAATCACTCACAGGGCCTTGAGTCAAAGTGGTGATTCTCAATCTGTGGTCCAAGGTCCAGTAGCTCTGACGTCACCTTGGAGCTACCTAGCAGATTCTCAGCCCCGACTGGGGGGCCTCCTTGAGTCAGAACCCCAGAGACCGGGCCCATCGAGGGCCACCTCATGCGGTAGGACTGTGCAGGCTCCACACTTAGAAAGGGCTGGGCCATCGGATTTAATTTTGAGCCCTCCAAATTAGTACATGGCAGTCCTGAGCCCAGAAACCCTTGTTTTAGGAAGCCCTGAAGGTGATTCGTGATGTGCTCAAATTGGAAAGCACCGAGTTCAGTCTTTGTCTTCCTGAAAACTCTGTTCCAGTAGAGACCTTCGCTGAGACCCTAACACTGTCAGGGCAGCACCCTCACCTGGCCTCCAGTTCATTGCCATCAGTTTAGCTGACTCATTAGTTGGCAGACACCAAGTGAGCAGGAATCAAGTGTGAGTATATGTGTGATATAAGTATATTCCCAGATGGTCTCCCTTCCTATCGGCTAGCTTCCTGCACCAGAGTGTGGCGAGGAAAGAATTTCCCTCCTTTTGTTCCATGATTTCAGCAAAACAGAGGGGAAGCCACCAGGATACTACTCTGTAGGGCCCACTCCTGACTCTGGGGACAGGCCTGTTCTAGTCCTCTGTAGAAATAGCATTTGGCACATTCGCTGCCCCAGAGCTCCCTGTTTGGGCACGTGGCAGACACTTAAATGGTTGGCTGTGTGCATTTCCAGAAAAGCCCCACTCCATGCCTGTGTGCCATCCCTGACAGACATTGGTCTGTGCCAGTCACATCTGTGTCAACACCACATTCATACAAGCCATTCAACCCCCTCTCTTTCCAGTTTGCTCTGAAAATGAGTCTGAAGCTGAGGCTGACCAGCAGATGGACAACCTGTACCTGAAGGCCTTGGAGGGTTTCATTGCCGTGGTGACCCAGGATGGTGACATGATCTTTCTGTCAGAAAACATCAGCAAGTTCATGGGACTCACACAGGTGACCACCCACCTCTGGGGTCATGTTTCTATTTGGGGGTAGAAATTAGTGGAAGGTTCTGATCACATCCCTCCTGACCTGTCCCTGTACATACCCACCTTCTCCCTCTCTGATCCCCAACCAGTCTCAGAACCACACTTTCATCCCCGGGTCTTGGGTTTGGCATTGCTGAAGGCCATCCTGGTGGACAGCTCTGCTGACTAGGCTAATAGGCCAGCTCTCATGAATCAAGTCTCTTGACATCAAGGGCAGCCCTGATACATCGGTCTGCCTGTGGACTTCACACTGAGCTGGGAATTTGAGAAGACCTGATTCGGTCTCTTCCCGGTGTCCCAATCTAGAAGGTGGTTCAGTTTTTGGAAAACTGAAGTCCAGCCTTGTTTCTGAAACAGGTGGAGCTCACAGGACACAGCATCTTTGACTTTACTCATCCCTGTGACCATGAGGAGATCCGTGAGAACCTGAGTATCAAAGACGGTAAGGCATTCTTCATTGCGTCTCCTTCATTCTTGTGCCATCTGAGTATCATGACCCAGAAAAAACTGACACGCAGCACACTCCAAAAGAGCCTGTAAGAGATCGAGGCACTTACTAGTAAAGGTCCTGATACTCAGAAGTCTCCCAGGCAGCCAGACTCCTTTCATGGCAGTCCAGGGCTCCCCAAAGTGCAAAAGTGGAAGCTGCCAGAGTGATGCTGAAGTGGGAACAGCATCACTCTTCCCAATCCTGTTGGTTAGAGCAAGTGACAATCCGGCCCCGAGTCAGAGTGGGAGGGGACTACACAGGCCGAGAATATCAGGAGGCTGGCTCATGGGGGCCTAGCTACCCTGGAGCCAAAGACTAAATCTGGTTCCCTATGGAGACAGGACAGGTAGATTCTGATGGAGAAGAAATTTAAAAGGTTTAGTGTATTGCACTTTACCTATGGGGCACCCAGGAAGTGCTGGTGGATAGGAGAGCCCATACAAGCAGAAAGCACTTTGCAGTGGCAGCTGGTTTGCTGCTTCATCTCGTATAAATGGGGACATTATCAAGACTGATGCTTTGGGCAGAAGAGGGGATCAGTGACTTTCGAGGTCCCATCTGAACTTGACATCGATCCCTGCCCTGGGCAGATTCTGCCCATGTCTAAACATCGCCTTTACCATCTCTCACCTGCCACTGCCTTGATGTGTGCTTGTCCAACCTGAATAACAGGTGAGTGGTACTAAGTCTGCAGGGTTTGGCTGCTAATACCATACTCTGCAAAAGCAGACATTTTATTGGCCTACTTCCACCCTTGTTACAGACAAAGCTTATAGCCTGGGCCTGCAAAATGCAGAATTTCAACCAACCCCATACCCCTCTCATACAGCCTCATCCTCTCCACCTGAAGACCTCAGAACACTGAGCTCCTAGAGCACACAGTCTGGAGAGCACTCCATGGGCTATTCCATGTCTTTGTCTGGTTCTATGGGGAAGGGGCTACCAGACTCTAGTCTCTTCCCGAAGCAGGTGTTTGAATCCTGAGAAAACCAGTCTCTTTTATATTCTCTGCTCCAGAAGCCCATTGGTCCTTGGGTTCTCAGTCTCTAGTCTCTGTCTGACCATGTGACCTGAACCAAGTCCCTTCATTACTCGGTTCCTTGGAATCTTTCTTTTCACATTAGCTGTATTGAACCAGGCAAAGTCTAGGGCCTTCCAGCTCTCCAGTGCCATGTTTTACAGCATGATCCTAGTCTATTTATCTAAGTAAACTTTAGGTCTCTTGGTCCACGTATCCAGGACTTGGTATCAAACTCACTAAATCAGCAAGCAGATCCTTATTGAAGGTGCCGGCCTGAATGGACTCATAATCTGGAAGCAAAGGGTTAATGTGAGCACCAAGAGGAAGATAAGACCAGGAGGCAGATTGTGAAAAACTTTGAAGGCCAGGTGGAGGGCCTCGAACTTTATCCTGTAGACAGCGGGGTGCTATTTGAAGGTTTTTGAGCAGGGGTGGAGTAATCTGATTAGAGCTGCGTTTAGAGAGATTAATCAAATGCTAGAATGGCAAGAATCCAGAGGCTAACAAGCTAGGACACCATGGGAATAATAACCCAAACTATAGCCACATTCATCTCCAGGCTTGAGCTGGTTTTGGTGGTGGGCCAGGCCCCAAAATACAAGAACATCCAGAATATGCCAACCCCACCTATGAAAATTAAAATTGTAGGAAACATCATTAAGTATGGAGGGCATGGTTTTATTATCATGATGGAGCAATATTCTGTCTTTTAAAAAAAATCCACCAATTTGGTCCATTACTTAGCGGGCTCTCCTGGGGCTATATAAGATAGAATTAAAGTTGACACAATTCACTGGACACGCAGATCTTTAGGGATATGACAGTCAAATAGATCACAACCCTCTGGAGGTTTAGGTGCAGAGGCTGGTGGCTATGCCTGAAGGGAGGAGTGCAAGTATTTGAAACAAGGCTCTGAAATGTTCTCGGATGCTGGGCAGGGGGCAGGGATACACCTTGGGGACCCAGGATCGGGATGGTGTGTAAGGCAGAATTTAGAGATGGACAAGGGGACTCAGATAACACTTTCTGCATTTATCAGTTTGTTTTACAAAAAGCCGTGAAAGTTCAGAATGGGCAGGCTACTTGGAAACTATAAGGAAGGAAGCTATATTGTTTGTCTTGGTGATTTATTTAATTCTGGCTGAGAAAGGACATCCATGTTGAGTTAATTCTCAGAGTGGACTTGCTCACCAAATCCCAGGAGATTTCTACCAGAGGTCTCTCGTGAGCTTGACATAAGTCAGTTGACGGGGAAAGCTGATGGCACATTATCCTGAATGCAGCCATGGTTGGTGGAAAATTGGGCCCAGGAAGGTACAAATTCCTGTGGGACAGGAATAAGGAAAAGACAGGAGTGAGTGAGGGACATTGCTAATCGGAGAGGCATATCCACTTGGAGTCACTGTGGTCTCACCTAGACTATCCTTTGGGATTACTCCTAGGGAGCCTGCACCAGCCCCGGCAGAGATTTGCTGAGATTGTGGCCAATAGTCACTCATTTCCTTGCTGCTGTGAAGAGAGCACCTCCCACATGCGAGGTGCAATGCAGAGAAAACATTGTAACACCCCTACTCTTTAGGTGCTTGTACTCCAGTTGGGGGGCAAGCAGGAGATGAGAAGGCTTTAGGCTATAGGCCCTGATGGTCCTCAGCATTCATGGCAGGCTACGGGTGCTAAGAGAGCAGAGACTTGGGAAATACAAACAATACATTGCACCAACAGCACTGCAACTGGGTCCCTCTTCTGTATATAAGTGAAAAGCTCAATGCTTCTGTCCACCCTTCCTCACCCAGGCTCTGGCTTTGGGAAGAAAAGCAAAGACATGTCTACAGAGCGGGACTTCTTCATGAGGATGAAGTGCACTGTCACCAACAGAGGCCGCACCGTCAATCTCAAGTCTGCCACCTGGAAGGTAGGGCAACACCAGGCACGGGCTGAGCCCCAGGTGCGCCCCGCCCCATGCCCTCAGCCCCACATCTGACCCTTCACGGCTGGTCTCCAGGTCTTGCACTGCACTGGCCAGGTGAAGGTCTACAACAACTGCCCCCCACATGGGGGTCTCTGCGGCTACAAGGAGCCCCTGCACTCCTGCCTCATCATCATGTGCGAGCCCATCCAGCACCCATCACACATGGACATCCCCCTGGACAGCAAGACCTTCCTGAGCCGCCACAGCATGGACATGAAGTTCACCTACTGCGATGACAAGTATGGCCCAGGAGCCTGTGTGCAGAGAGTGTCTTGCATGCATTGTGTGTGTGTGTGTGTGTGTGTGTGTTTTAGTTGTGCCAGAGATAAAGGCATGGGTCTCAGGGGCATAAATGTTGTATTGTTGGGGTGCCAGCTTGTGGGTCTGGATCGCCGTTTCACTCCATCCATGCAGCTAAGGGATGCCTAGCACCATATTTGGCTAACCCCCTCCCCCCATTGATTAGCGCCAGGGTCTGACTGCAGAGTTGTTCTGGTGTGCAGTTCTGTTGTCATTATTGATCATTGTGATGTATACATCCCTCCGCATATGTGTGTCAGGCTCCTGAGGACATTTCCAGGTCAGTCTGCTTCCTCAGGAGATGAGGGGCAAAAGGTCTCCATCAGTACCCCCAATTCAGATGCCAGCTGGGAGCCAAGTCTCTGGCCGGAAGACTGCTCTGCACGTATTCTCTTCCGTTACTGAGCTCTCCCCTCAGCCTTCGCTCCTTCTGTGTCACCTCTACCCTGGCCACTGTCCAGCCTAGTTTTAAAGGCTTTTCGATAGACCTAAACCAGACTCTCATCCCCAAACCAGGCCCAACTGGAAATTCTCTCATCCACAGGACATCCAGGGGTATCGAGCTTTCTTGATGGGCAGGGCCCAACTTTCCAGGCCAGGCTGTTTCTTTCCCCTGATTCTAGACTAACCTGATGTTGGCTGGCACACCTTCTTAGAATTGGCCAACTCTCTGGGACAATTTAAAAATGTCTGGAACAGCATCCTTGAGTCATTCCTGTCCCCCGGTTCTGACCATCGTGGTGCCTGGACTCACAGCTCTTGGAGCTGGTGGGAATTACATAATTAGAAAAAAGCACTCTAACCTCACAGGGAGAAAATGTCCTGTATGAAGACTTTTGCCCTGTGCTAACACCGCCAGCATTAATTATAGTTGTTAGCACTGTGGTTACTGTAACGATGATGATGATTAGAGGGAATGACTGCTCCAAAGGCAGGCACCAGAGAAATCCACGTGTGTGTGTGTAAGGTTATTTATCAGATGCAGTCTTTGTACTCATGTGAACACTCTTGGCAGAAGAAGTTTTGTAACATGCTCCCCTCCGTGTGGTCTTCTGAGATGCCGAGGGACATCCTGCTGCAGAGCCCACATCTGGCTTCAGAGGAGCTGGTGCCCCTGAGGAGCAGCGGGAGCACCGAGGACCGGGGCAGCAAATCCCTGTCACTCACAAGCACCGGGAAAACCCTGCTGTCCTAGAAAAGAGCTTGTCGTGCAGGGATAATAGAAGTGATGACTGTTGTTGTTGTTTTATTTAGCTTAAGATTTTGATTGTTGCTACAATGAAGGAAAAAAAAAATCCTCTGGAAAGGGTAATTTGAAGTTATTCTTTATTCATTATCTTGTTTGGAATGTGTTTCGGGTCATTTCCTGAAAGCAAGCAACCTTTGGATAAAAGAGGAGGGGAGACATGAGGAATTGGGGGTGAGAGTGGTTGAAGAGGAAAAGGACACAGCACTGAAGTGGGTTCGGGGCTGGCAGGCCGAGGCGGCAGTGGCTGGAAGGGATCTGTGGGTTAAGGCTTTGAGACTTCCGAGTGTGGAGGCGATACTGTGAGAGAGTTCTGTTGGGTCCATTGCACTTGAAGTGAATGAAACCTTGCCTTTCACGAAACCTAATGTCACGGCCCGGGCTCTGAATTCAGTGGTGCCGGAGAGGTGATGCAGAGATATCTGAAGACCTAGAATGCTGTGCTACACAGAAGTTGTGTTGAACCGATTAGCAGATTAGTTAACAAGGGCACAGACGTGGCTTAGACAATTTATAAAGTGACTATTTTAAGTCCTTAATCCCTAAGTATTATTTCTCAATTGCTTTGATGAGGACTGGTATATTTTAGTTTTGGAAGCTTGTTTTGTTTTCATTGTTTGTATTGGGATGGGGAAAAGCATATTTGTAGTCTCTCTCTCTCTCTCTCTCTCTCTCTCTCTCTCTCTCTCTCTCTCTCTCTCTTTCTCTTTCTCTCTCTCATATTTTCCTTATTACCCTTCCAAGATCAGTGTTTCAAAAACTAACACTTGCATATGATAGCCAATTGGGGGGGGTGGTTCCCATTTTAATCATGGAATGCATTAGTTTAGTGGCATCTGACAATCTGACACACACACAAAGGGCTATGATTTCTTACAAAGGGATTTTCCTCCCATAAGGAAAATAATTAGAATCTGATGAAAATGTAAGTGAATCCGAATCCACAAAATCACTTTTGAGAGCATTTGGTACTTCTTCTTAGATGTATTAAGATCACAGACCTAATCAAACAAATGAACAAAGGGTCTTGGAGAAAAAAAAGAAGGAAGAACAGAGAGGAAAAGGGGAAGAAAAATTAAAAAGAGGCAAGAAAATAGGATTCTAATCTTGTGTTTAACTCTCAAGTTTCCAAAATCAATTCACTCTGAAATGGAGTGAAGGAATGCCAATGATTCAAAATGCATGTGTCCTGCTCCTTTTAATAAAGGGTCAGAGGACTGTATTAACTCTTTTGTTAATTATTTGAAACATAGTGAACATTTTTAAAGTGAATTCTATAATAATTTATATATGTCAAATGCATTTATGGGTATATAGTCCACTGCTCTAGATAGAGTCAGGTTGAGTCACAAGGTTAAGGAAGAGAAATGTCCCAGTCATCAATATAACTGATGATCTCATCTTCATTTATATTCCATTTCCTAAAACACTGAGCAACCAATTAATGAACTCTTATTTATTGAGCATCTACTCTGCATCTAAGCCTGTGCTAGAGACTTTTATATTAAAGAAGTAAAAGAGATGGTCCCTGACCTCGAAGAGTTTACAGTTTGATACATGAGCAACTTGATGAAACCACAGTGAATAGTACAAACTAGAGCATTCCATTCACCCAGAAGGAAGACAAAACTGTGTTCTTTTCAGGTAGTTTAAATCGGGTTGCTTCAATTCAGGTGGAGATGCCATCTAGTGGTGAAAGAGAATCACTGGGAGCCACGCCATCTGTATTTTGCATGATCCCACTGTGATTTTGTCAGCTTTATGAGTCTTCCCTTACCTTAGAAGTAAATTATAAAAGCAGATTATGTGGAGAGGACCCATATATCTGGGAGTGGAGTGGAAGGCATCAAAAGTAAAAATTTGAAAGTGACAAAGAGGGACATGTCATCTTTATAAGCAGAGTTTGAGGGCAGTCCTATTTTGGTATTGAATTAAGGCACCAAAGGCATAATAATATCAACATCTTGGAATCAGCCTAACAGAGTCTGAGCTTATACATATGAGAAATGCTCAAGTGTTACCTGCCTAATCTAGTCTCCTTGAGATACTCCCTGAAGGGCAGCCCTACAAATTCTCTTTGGAATTTATTTCAAAGTTTACTAGATCTTGCAATTCAAAAGCTATTCCTCCTACACACTCTGGTTCTTTCTTGCTATAATTCAAGGCAAATTTCCTCTAACTGTGTGTGGGTTCCAAGGCAATAAAAGGCAGCTGCGGCATTTGGTGGCACTCAGAGCAGGGTCAATCCAGGATTGAGCCCTGGCGACCTTCCTAGGAATAAATTCACCTGGCCGGGGACACAGACAGGATGGAAACTGATTACCCACTGACTACAGCTATATAGATTTCACATGATTGTGCCGTATTTGAGGAAAGCACAAGGCTAAAAGTACTGTTGTTTAAAACAAACAAAATCTGCATAAAAAACATACTAAAACAGAAGGCATTTGAAATCTGAGTTAGTGAATAGTCTGGATTTGAGGAAATGCAATTTCAAAGCTGCTATGCACATATAAAAACCAAAATGGGGCGAATTGAGTCTAGGAGAGACCATTGTCCAAAGGGTGGGGGGCGGGGAGGAAAACAGGCAGAGACTTTAATAGAAGTGTGGTTTATTAGCAAGTGCATTCTTTGAAAAACAAATAAGTGGTTCTAAAGAACTTAGAACGTTTATCCTCTTTAATAGTTTCAATACTCCAACCCATCTTGTTTACATGATTACTTTACTTAGCTAATCCTTTACTTGTGTGAAAAACCATGGCGAAAACTGTAGCCAGACCTCCTTTGACTCCAGGCAGTGGCTTGTGGAGTTGGGGCACTTGCTGCTGTGTCCCACGGGGACAGGCCCTTGGCAGTGTCACTGGGAAGAGCAGCCGCCGCCGCTGCCGCCTTATTCTTAGTGCGTCTCTCCTGCCTCCTGAGGCAATGACATGGACACTGTAGCTGGTTTTCCTCCACTTCTCGGTCACAGGTAATCCGTGTTGGAAAGAGCGTCTGATCATCTTTTAAGGGTAAAGGGCCATTGAAGAGCAATGAATCCCGGTCATTTTCATTTGAAGGCATGACTATCTGACTCTGAAATCCAGCTCCTGCTGGTTCGAACCTTGGATTTACCTGGGGTAATGCTAACCTCAGAATTCAACAACCGTTCTTTCCTCTTTATTTTATCTTCTCTTTTTCTTCCTTCTTCCTCTGCCTCCCACGGTTGCCTATATCTGCATCTCCCTCCCAACCTCCCCCCGGATCTGTTTCTTTTTCCATTTTATTAGAGGGTGACCTTCTCACTTATGAAATCTGGTAGGTTGATTTTTATATTTCCTTCTTCTCTAAAAACAGAACCACCCTCCTGAGTCGACTTCTCCCTTAGCGAGCCCCAGGGGCTCTTAATTAGAAAGAAAAGAATAAATAGTTTCCCTGCCCCGGGTGGACAGAACAGATGAAACTGTTATCATAGTTCTGGAGGCTTCTCTGGGGGTTTTTCGGGGGGAGGGGCAATTAGCTTGGAAGGCCCTTCTGTGCCTAATAGTCCAACCCTATAAACAAGCCGGGTTCATTACCCTCCCGGTGGCGTCTGCGTGCCTACAGATGGAGGCGAATGACCATTAGCTTTAAGTTGGGGTTTCCTGGCTTTGTGAAGCCTGACAACCTGAATGTTCGTCAATTGTGTTTGGGGTACATGCGCATTTCCCAGTTTTTATAGTCTGTTTAAAGGAATGGAGAAGGAGACATTAAATATTTGTTTTAGTTGACAAGATAAATGAAGGCTGCTACTGGGAAGATAGCTGGCCATTCTGAAATCTAGGTTTGTTTGTCCACTTCCAAAACATGCCCATTGTGTGCCTTTGAATGGATGGTACATTAATATGATTAGACATAGTTTATTATGAGGCAGATCATAACAAACATCCGCTCTGAACATTTTCATTTAAAGATTCTAATCTTGAAAGAAAATTGAATTTCTTCAGGGACTAGAATCAAATCCCTTCCAGAAGAGCCTCATTTTGGAGTCTAAAATTCTAGACCTTTCCAGGAAACAAAGTGGCTTATCTGGCACATCTACTATTCTGTCAGCAGCCAGACTCACCCCCACCTATCTGCCCCCAGGGCTGATCCCCAGGCTAAGCTTCAGAAAGGCTCTGACCAGCAGAGAAAAGATATGTGGTTGTAGGGAAGGAGGGGCCAGCACTGTCCTACCGTCTCCTTCCCCCAGTTTCCACCACGGCTAAGGTGCCACGTTGGGTGCCAGCCCTGTGGAAAGGGTGACAAGGAACATGCCCATTGCTGATGAGTTCAGAGATTCTCAGAGTGTACAGATCTTCCTTGTGTGTGACCAGCTGGCTGGTTCAAATGAGCTCCTGGCATCTCCCTGGAGAGACCTCCCCTGGGCTGAAGCAGCTAAGACCCAAGCTTCTCAGGCCTGTTCAGCTGCCCCTGTTGCACACAGGCTTTAATCCCCAGTCTCACCTTGGCAGGGAATTTACCACTTCTCTGCCCACATTAACACTAGACACACAATCCTCTTGGATACAGGCCTGCCTTCCATGGGTTCTTCTACTTGTCCCTCCCAATTTCAAGGAATGGAAGAAGGGCAGGAGGTACGGAGAGGAAGAAATATAAAATCACAGCCACAGAAACATGCCTCCTCATTACATTCTCCAAGGACCAGGCTTGGCTGTCCTAACCGTACCTTGCTTCCTTTTGTAAGGGGTCTATTTCTGATGGAAAGTAGAGAAAAGGCAAGTTTGGAGAACCATGAAGAACCACTTAACCCTCAGCTCTGTGGAGTCATCAAAATAAACCAGCCCTGTCCAAGAACCACCAGATTAGCCACATCCCCACATCATACCTACATATTATTTTTTATAACCTTTGTTATCTCACACATTTTCACTTTTCATTTATATCCCCCTCTACTAGAATAAGCTTGACCTAGTAATCAGGAGGCCCTGGTTTTCATTCTTGCCCTGACCTGGACACATGTATGGACATCAGCAAATTGTCTATCCTTCCAGGATCTCTCTACTCCCTCACCTGCAAAAACAGGGAGGGGGATGGGGGTGAAAGCATGATGGTTGGAGGCTAGACATATGTATATATTAGGGCTGGGGTAGGAGTCCCCTGAGGAACTGCTTTTCCTTCCTCCCAAACATGACTTCAGGAAGGGCAAGATGGGCAGGAAGAGTGGCGGCTGGGCAGACCCACAGCTGAAGGTTGACCATCGTGTGTTTTTTGCATGCATGAATGGTGTAACCAGGAAACTGGTAGTGTTTTCATCTGAATGTGTGCATTTGACTTGCCCTGTGAATTTAGCTCCGTGAGCACCTGCCCTCATTCATATGGTTTCTCTTTCCCACATGGTTTTTTTAAAAAAAATATTCAGAATCACAGAACTGATTGGTTACCAGCCAGAGGAGCTGCTCGGTCGCTCAGCCTACGAGTTCTACCATGCACTGGACTCGGAGAACATGACCAAAAGTCACCAGAACCGTAAGTTCCTGGAGTGTCCCGTATGGCCCCCTTGCGTCTGTGGAATTTGGCCTTGAGTGGGGTGTGTGAGGCAGAAGACCTGGTCACCTCCCTTACAGAACCACTGTCTTATGCAGCAGGAAGATATACTCTCAGGATGGTTAGATTAGAATTTGTTTTTACATGCCCTGGACTGGAATCAAATCCCGGACCCTCCAGTCCTTGGGGCCGTTGCTCTATCCACTGAGCCAAACCAGCCAGGGTTAGGATAGTTAGAGAACGAAGGCTGCCACCAGCCTGTATGACAACTTCATGCAAATGAGACAAAGGACCTTTCCTCCAGGGGAACACACTCACACCAAACCATGTGGTTTAGAGAGTAGAAGGTGGACTGAACCTCATTTCCATCTCCGCTGAGTGCCCTGGCAGACAGAGTCCACAGTCTGCACAGCCTGTGGAACAACCCTGTAGAGGGTAACTCGAGACATGTCACCTTGGTTATGTGCTCTGGACGTAAGTACACGCATTCGGAGAAGAGGAGAGCTAGGCAAATGCAGAAAGAAGAGGATAGGGCACTAGAAAAGAATGCTTCAACATAAGTGCAGACAGAGGTCCTAAGAGGATTTCAGAAGGATTAAAAACGGGTAAGTCTGAGAAGATTCCCCATGGCTGTGCAGGTCCTGAGCTCCCGGGATTAGCTGTGGCCCGGTGTGGCAAGGAAGAAGAGGAAAGTCCAGCTATTTGCCCTCTGTTCCTAAGTCCATCCATCCGTCCCAAGGTTAGGATCACTCAAGTTCAGAGTAGCTACCCCATAAGTAGTATCTGATCATCATCATAATCTCTTACAGAGTGAGGTCTTGTCTTTCTATTTGGGTTTCTCTGCTGCTTCCTTGTGGCTTTTGGGTTTGATCTGACAGTGAACAGGAGCCTTTATGATATCTCAGAGAAGTTTCTCAGAAAACAAACAAACGACCTAGACTCGGCCCTATTAGTAGGCCAGGGATGGGAGAGGCAGGTGGAGATACCCTTGCATGCCCAGCCCACAGGGGTGGGTGTGATCCAGCCCCAGGTTTGAAATGCAGGCTGTGGCTCCAACTTGCACATTGAGGTTCCTCAAGCTTTTCTGCTCTGTGACTGTTCCTGACACTGGGATTCAAAGAACTGGGTCCTGGCCCAGCCCCCACAAGTTCCCCAGGGCCAGGTTTCCTGGACTTCCCCTCCTATAGATGTAAAACCGGGGGTAAGGCCAGCCTTTCTCATCAACCAAGGGTGAAGTCAAAGCGAGGACGAACGTAAGTTTCTGGGAACTCTTGGCAGACATACTTTATCTTCCGGGTGGGAAAATCGAGGGAAGAAATTATTTCCAAGGTAACAAAAATGATGGCTTCTCTCTAGGCCTATGAGAAGGATTTTTTTTTTTAATCTTCTCTTTCTTAGAAAAGCTTTGATTCATATAAAAAGAGGTGGGATAAAAATTTGTCACATCAGTTTTCTGCTGACTCCAGGGAAAATATGGTGCTTTTTATTGAATCTGGTATGTGCAAGCATTAGGCACACTTAAAGGTAATTCAGAGCCCAAATGGAAATCACAGGCCCCCTTCTTCCCCTGGTGGAAGCAAGGAAAGCAGCTCTGAGCTCAGAGGCCTGGCTGGACCCAGCCAGCAAGCCCAAATCCAGCACAGGGCAATCTGCCTCTGCCAGTCTCTCTCTTTCCTCTCTCTCTCCTTTGCCGGGTTTGTGCAAATATAATCGCACCCGCAGACCCACACTGATGCTGTGAAATAGCTGGAGGCCAGGTTTGAGGCTGGTTCCCATTGACACACCAGCACCCTGACTGTCTGCACCCACGTGTCTTTGCCTGTGAATGCTCGATTTAGAAATTGCTGGGGAAGCTCAGCCCTCAAACCAGATCCAGATAATTGAAAGCCATCGTTTCCAAATGGATTAGTAATTTATACAATGTTAGTCTCTGAGGGGAGGGGCTGGGGGGGTTGGCTTCTCTTTGTTGTGTGAGCACATTATGTGCTCTTAGGAAAACAAGATTAAAGGTCATAAAAAGCCTATCTACCAAGGAGCAGGCCCCGCATGGCGGCTGGCACTAATGAGCAGATGATTAGAAGGCGGGCCTAATTATATTCTACTGACAGAGCAGGCCCTCGCCTGCAATCACTAGAAATGCAGTTAAAACCTTTGCTTGTTGCACCATTTCATCAAGAATAAGGGCCCTGAGTTTTGTCTGCGTTAAGAGCCGTCTAAACAAGTTAACGCCAGCCACTTGAAATTGTGCAAGAATCACCTCACTGCAACAGGGGAGCCTCCATGGCGCAGATAAAGGGAAGTCACAGGAGGACAGTTATTTCTTTAGCTGAAGAGTAAAGAAATAAGGCAGATTTGGCCCTCAGTACAAACAGTTGTGGTAGCTGACAATGATTACATTACTATCATTTTTATCGCATCCCATTTTTCAGGTGAAGAAACCAAAGCCAAGAGAGATTATTCTTTCCCCCAAGTGCCCAGGCTAGCAAGATCTCCTAGTCCTTCCCCTATGCCTCTGTCCAATTCTTTGCCTTCTGGGGGTGTCTGAAGAATGAATTCCCAAGGACTAAGAGTAACTGGGCAGTTCAGGAAACCACCAGAAATTCTAACATTCAGTAGACTTATTTAAAGGAAGTTACTGATTCCTTTTTAATGGGAGCGGGTTGAGCATTCTGGACTGGGCAGGAGGATGCACAAAAGCTAAATGAACTTTTAAAACACTCTGGAATTGGAAAGAGGTCATAAGCATGCAGCCTTGCTGGGCAGCTGGGAGGAGGAGGAGTGGGAAGGTCTTATCATGGTTTTGAAGAGGCTGAGTGTAGGCAATGGGGACTGGGGGTTAGGGGGGTGGTGGTGGGGGGGCAGCCCTTACCTCTGCCTTTGCTGTGGGTCACAAACCTTTGGTGGCCCCATGGTGGCAGGCCTCACAGATGACCTGGAACAATCAAGGATATCGTTTGAAAATAGCTATTTATTCCCAGGCTTTTAGTATTGGCAGAAGCATGCTCCAAAGGGCTACTCTGAGGGGGCTTTCTCCACCCTGCTTGCAAGTACCCACCCCAACCTGGAGAGCTTGACAGAGGCGGCTTTCCTGGGGTCCTGTGAGGGGCTCCCCATCCTTGAACCCTGGGGGAAAGTAGGGCAGAGCCAGTGGGTGAGCAGTCAATGGGCCATGACCTCACATGGACAGCCTTGGGCAAGTCACGTAAGCCCTGCGGCCCTCCCCTCCCTATACTGAACATGAAGAATGGGGTGCAGTGATCTCTAAGCGCCAGTCTTCATGGTCTGGTGCCTGTCACGACCATTTCCCCAGAGACTGCCCTCCCATGGGGTCTTCAGCCCCCCCTCCCCCACCTCCCTGACCTCAAGGCTCCTTTTCTCCTCCCGCAGTGTGCACCAAGGGTCAGGTGGTGAGCGGCCAGTACCGCATGCTGGCAAAGCACGGGGGCTACGTGTGGCTGGAAACGCAGGGGACGGTCATCTACAACCCGCGCAACCTGCAGCCCCAGTGCATCATGTGTGTGAACTACGTCCTGAGGTAAGTGTGGGAGGGCCTGTGAGGCACAGGCTGCAAGCTCCCCACCCTGAGGATGGCAGGCTCTCTGCGGTGCGGGTCCTCAGGACCCAGAGCACTGCCACAGAGGATGCGGGAATAGCAGGTCATTTGGGACTTCCCCTCCCCGGTGCTTCTCTCCCCTTTTCCTAGTCTCTCACTGATACATGCCTCTGACCCACCTGGGGAGGCAGACAGAAACAAAGTCATTCCTTGATAAGCATTTTGCGAAGGTGGGAAAACGGGAGTGTTTTCCCACATTCCCTCTGAAGCCCCTGGGAAGAGAGCTGGATAGTCATTGCTGGAGGGAAACATACAAAAGTCTGCAAACCCGGGTACACCATGCAGTGCCTGCTTGTACAGCAGGGTCCAAGGCAGACTTCCAGTCTGAGGGCGCTCTCCCTGTTGCTGACTCAGCTCCACATCTCCATGGTGTGGCTCTTCAAAGCATGACGACACAGTGTCCCTTCCCACACGTTTGGCCGAGAGGCTCAGCCTTCGGGATGTCCCTGGGTCTGCGGGACAGAAGGATGTCGCTAGGAAACGCGGCAAGTCTGAAGCACCCTCTTGTCCCCACAGTGAGATTGAGAAGAACGACGTGGTGTTCTCCATGGACCAGACGGAATCCCTGTTCAAGCCGCACCTGATGGCCATGAGCGGCATCTTCGAGAACAGTGACGAGGTGGCCGTGTCTGAGCAGAGCCACCTCCTGTTCACCAAGCTGAAGGAGGAGCCGGAGGAGCTGGCCCAGCTGGCCCCCACTGCGGGAGATGCCATCATCTCTCTGGACTTCGGTGGGTGCCCCTCAACCGAGCTGGGGCACGTTGACCTCTCTTGGGGGTGGGGGCGGTTCTTACTATCACAGGCCTCCCTGGTTGCAGCTTTTTGTTAGCCAGAGGCACTATGTTCCTTCCTCGAGTCTTGCTAATTATCTGTTAGTGGTCAGACTGGTCTGTACTGGATGCAAAAGAGCAATCCATGCACCTGGTACAGAGTAAGACCACAAAGTGCCAAGTCGGGGGGGTGTGGGGGGGCCATGCAGGGGAGGTTGCAGAGGACTGCCTGGAGGAGTCGCATCTCCACAGGGATAGTAAGAGCCTGCCATGACAGCAAGAGAGCTGCTCAGAGATCACTGGCAAGATTTCACAGTGAGGGCAAAGCCCCATCTGGGACTTGAGGGACAAATTGCTTTTTTGGGAAGGGGTCTGAACTGAAATGGGAGAAATAATTCCAGAAAAGATTCAGGCCCAGATTTAGCACCCGTAGGCACTACTTCTTTAAAACATGTGTGTGTGTGTGTGTGTCCAGCGGGGACTGAGTTCTGGTCACCAGAGAGAGAGTTTTCAGGCCTCCCCATCCCACGCTGGAAGCACCTTCACGTGTACCCGGGGGCCCTTGCTCCCCATGTGGGTGGGACCCGCAGCCTGGCCGTGCTGCTGAAGGGACAGGTGCAGCGCCTGGGCTTGCCCCGTGAGCTGTGCCCTGAGAGGCCAGGTGAGAAGCAACAGAGGATCGTAGAGGACAGTCCGGGACGAGAGGGCTCACAGCCCCCACTCACAGCCTGACTCCCTCTGGTCCTCTCCTAACCTCTCACCTACATGCTGGGCTGTTCTCGAGGAAGAGAGGCTCCTACTTCCCTTAGTCTCTGACAAGTAACTGCTCCAGGAGGGTCTCCCCTTGAAAGGGAGCCTGTACATCGAATCAGAGCCCCTGTTAAAGGCCCCTTTGTCCCAGTCAAGCTTCTGAGGGCTAAGGCATGACTTCCAGAGGCTGTGGGGATTTCTCGTGCATCCGTTGGGCTTTTATCTGCCATCGGCGTTTCTCCGTGGACCGATAGGAATCCCTGTTAACCAAGCCAGATGCTTGTCTCCACAGGGAACCAGAGCTTTGAGGAGTCGTCAGCCTATGGCGAGACCATGCTGGCCCCCAACCAGTCGTGGGCTGAGGAGCTGAGGAGCCACATTGCCCAGAGCGAGGCCAGCCTGCCCGCCTTCACCATGCCCCAGGCGGCCACGCCAGGGGACACCAGCCCCAGCGCCACCAGCAGCAGCTGCTCCACGGTGAGCCCCCTGGAGTGAGGCCACAGGGAAGGCAGGCTCCTCCTCTGGCCACTGCCGTATGGCCGGTCAGTCAGGACAGAAATACTGCCCTCCTCCTACTCAAGTTATCCTGGAGTCCTGTAGAGAGGGCACGTATGCCTGCAGGTACACCAGCCGTTTGCGTGCCGTCAGTATCCAGCTCCACCCCCACCTAAATGACAAGTTCCCGGAAGGCACGGGCTGAGGGGCAGTGTTTTGAGCCCCCAGCTCTGTCCCTGCTCAGGGCACAGAGCTGTACAGTCTCCAGAGCTCTGGCCTTTATCGTACTGGCACCTCAGGACCGGCTCATTGGATGAGGTGACTGAGGTGCAGAGAGGTTGATGAATGGACCTGATTCACACATCTCACAGTACTAGTACTGGTTGGGTGGAATAGAGTTGGTCTGTGGGCCTAAGAATGTATTTCTCCTTCTACCTTGGACTTTGGGGAGAGCAGTGTCATACTCTTGACATAGTCACTCCCCTCCTGGCCCCCAGCCTGGCAGCCCTGAGGACTATTACACATCTCTGAATGACGATCTGAAGATGGAGATGATTGAGAAGCTTTTTGCCATGGATACAGAGGCAAAGGACCAGTGCAGCACCGAGGTAGGTGGCCACGGAGAAGTTGGACTGGTGTGCCTGCCAGCAGGTGGCAAAGGCTCAGACCTGGTCTAGCAGCAGCACCCCTTTGTGACAGAGACCAGTGGAGTTGCTGGACCCTGGTCTCTAACTGGATGAGGGTGCAGGTCCTTCCTCCCACTTCACCCTCTGCTTTACCTGTGCCAAACCAGCTCTTCTACCTGTAACTCTCACCTTGTTTATCTCCTACTCACTGAGGGAGCTCCCTTAGTGCACATGAAGGCCAAAACTATGAAATATATTTTAAAAACAAAACAAAACAAAACAAAAAAAACCTAGCTGGTTTGGCTCAGTGGATAGAGTGTCGGCCTGCAAGCCGAAAGGTCTCAGGTTCGATTCTGGTCAAGGGCACGTGCCTGGGTTGTGGGCTCCATCCCCAGTGGGGGACTTGCAAGAGGCAGCCGGTCCATGACTCTCTCCCTCTCTGAAATCAATAAAAATGTTTCTTCCAAGAAGCCAGACATTTAAAAAGTACATCCAGATGTGTGAGACATTTATAAGCAAAGAGAACACTTACTCCCTTCACAAAGTGGGGAGTCTTTGAAATACTATTCTAGTTTAAATGTATTTAAAAATGATATCGGAGCCCTAGCTGATTTGGCTCAGTGGATAGAGTGTTGGCCTGTGGACCAAAGGGTCCTGGGTTCGATTCCGGTCAAGAGCACGTACCTTGCCCAGGCTCTCGTTGGGGTTTGTGCAGGTGGCAACCAATCAATGCTTCTCTCTTATATTGATGTTACTGTCTTCCCTCTCTCTTCCACTCTCCCTAAAAATCAATGGGAAAAACATTGTTGGGTAAGGATTAACAAAAAAACAAACAACAACAAAAAATACCAGAATCATAAGTTTTCATTTGCATGTAACTTTACAGGAAAGCATTTGTTACAGAAAGCCGAGTGCTCTTGCTCTGTGTCTCCTCAGCTGGATTTCAATGAGCTGGACCTGGAGACACTGGCACCCTACATCCCTATGGACGGGGAAGACTTCCAGCTGAGCCCCATCTGCCCCGAGGAGAAGCTCGGGCCCGAGAACCCACAGTTCCTTCCGCAGCAGTGCGTCAGCACCATGACAAGCATCTTCCAGCCGCTGGCCCCCATGCCCGCGCCTGGCCCCTTCCTCCTGGACAAGTACCAGCAGCAGCTGGAGAGCAAGAAGACGGAGCCTGAGCACCGGCCCATGTCCTCCATCTTCTTCGATGGCGGGAGCAAGGTGTCCCTGCCATCGTGCTGTGGCCAGGCCAGCACCCCTCTCTCTTCTTTGGGGGGCAGATTCAACACACAGTGGCCCCCTGATCCGCCCTTACATTTCAGGCCCCCCAAGTGGCCTGGGGGAGATCAGCACTCGGAGGCTTTGGGGATATCGCCGTCGGGGCCCCCTGCCTCCTCCCCGCATCTCTCCATGTTCAAGAAGAGGTGAGTGGCAATGATCCTTGGCTGCTTCAGCAAAGGCTGTGCTGGAAAGGGGAAGAGGGGGGGCAGATGGGTACTCATGGGGGGTTTGGGGGGGAGGTGATCTGGGGCCCAGAGACTCCCTGTCCCACCACCAACTCCTGCTCCACAGTGATGGGTCATCCAGTGAGCTCTGATCCAGGAGCTTAGGCTGAGGGGCATCACCCCGAGGTCTGTGAGGCCTCGAGTGCAATGTGTTTATCAGAGCGGAGGGGACCCAGAGCTGACTGAGGACAAGAAAGGGGAGAAAACTAGCTGGTCCACCCTTGCACACCCTCGTCTCGCTCCCCAGAGCACCCTAAAGCACCTTTCTTACCTAGGGTTCATTACAAAAAGGGACCTGGGCAGTGGTTCTCTTCTTCCTCCTGGAACCCTGGTTAAGAAAAGTAAAAAGATTCCCATGCCTTTTAGACATCCAGCATTGCCTTCCCTGTTCTCCTCCTCCTCCTGGCTCCTTCAAATCTCCCCGACAAGCTCCATTCCCACCAGCTGGCAGCTCCCAGGGCTGAAGCACAATGGTTAGCATGTGACCCTCTGCTCCCAGGGCACATTAGTTATGCTGCCCAGGGCACGTGCCCTTGAGAGAGCAGCCTCACTCATCTGAGGGGGAACAGTTTAGCCAGAAGAAACCCTCCTAGAGACTGATGTTGCCCCACTGGGCCACTGCAACCGAGGTCAGGCCTGGAGGCTGCCTGGGTACCACTGGGCAGGCGGCACATGTGACTTGAACCTTTAGCATCTCAGCAGGTGGGGAGACAGGGGAAGGGCAGCAGAGTGAGCTCGGCCGAGGCCCACACCCTTCCTCTGAGCCTCTGCCCTTTGGGTCATGTATATTAGGGCTGAAAGGGCCCTCTGAAGGCCCTGAATGGCATGGGCTCCAGCCCCCCTCACGGCCCACTCTCTCGGGCTTGGCAGGTCTGCAAAGGGCTTCAGGCCTCAGGGCCCCGATGCGATGAGCCCGGCCATGGTAGCCCTCTCCAACAAGCTGAAGCTGAAGCGACAGCTGGAGTATGAGGAGCAAGCCTTCCAGGACATGAGTGGGGTGAGCCATCTCCTGACTGGCGCTGCCTTGGGTTTCCTCCACGGCCCTCGGGACAGGCTGGGCAGGGAATCGGGACTGAGAGCCGAGATCCAGGCTGGCAGGCAGCTCTCACACTCTGAGGCTCAGCAGCCAGCCAGGGGCAGCAGGGCGGGGTGGGGAGGTGGCCTCTCAGAGCCCACCCTCCCCAACGCGGTCTGAGGACGGGTTCTCTGGCCCTCTCCCCTCTACATCTGCCCCTCTCACTCCCAGGGGGACCCTCCAGGAGGCAGCCCTTCACATCTGATGTGGAAAAGGATGAAGAGTCTCAGGGGCTGTGGCAACTGCCCTCCCATACCTGACAAGCGGCTGCGCGCCCACGTCCCCAGTGGTGAGCAGCAGGCAGAGATGTCTGCAGGTGGAAGGGTTGGGGGCTCATCTTTGTTCTTCCACTCACCATCCCTCCTTCCCCTTTCCACTGTTCTGGCTCAAACTACACTGTCAGAAGCCTGGGCTTCCAGGCCTGGGGCCTGGCTCTGAGCCCCTTCTGTGAAGGCAGGGAGGATGCTGGGGGCTCGCTGTCTCTCCCCTCCTCAGGCTGGCACAGTCCTCACCTTCCAACACTGATCTTTCAGATGAGTTCACCCAAAACCCCATGAGGGGCCCGAGCCAGCCTCTGAGACACCTGCCGCCGCCACAGCCACCATCCGCCGTGAACGCCGAGGAGAACGCCAAGAGCAGGTTCCCTCCGCAGTGCTGCGCCTTTCAGTACCAGGACTACAGCCTGCCTCCGGCTCACAAGGCACCAGGTGGGTACGCCAGGGCCTGCAGCCTCCATGCCAGCGTCTGCTGTGTGTGGGAGGGGCGAGGGCCAGGGGGTGGACATCCCAAGGAGGCAGGTCTCAGCTCAGCATGACTTTCTGCCCTGAAAGCCCCCTACCCCTCCTGTAAGGGGGACGGGCCCTCCTTCCCAGCAGAGTTGCAGCAGCGGCTGGAAAGCCATCTGCCTACAGGGCTTTGGAAGGAACCTTACAACCATCAGGTGACATCCAGGGCCCTTTGATCCAAAAGGCCCTCGAGCCCGTGTCTTTGATGCTACGGAATTGCCTCATTTCCCACTGGCCTCCGGGGCATCCCTCTGCGTGCAGGAGGGAGTCAGGCTGAGGACATGTACGGAAAACATGCCGCCGGGGGCTCTGGGAAAGGTCACCCCGCTGGACCTCCTGGAGGGTTAGTCACCTGGTGCCTGCCCTCTGGCCTGGCCCTCCTTAGTCAGGTACCGTCTTGGGAAACATAGATGTTGTCACAAAAGGTTGCAGAAACATAGTGGAGGACGTGGTGGAACATACCGGACCCCTGCCCTCAAAGAGGGCAGTTTCCTTGGCTCTATAGTTTGGGATAAAGTGGGTATTCGGTGCTTCAGCCTCCAGCACCACCAGACAGCCCTGGGCTGTCTCCCCCAGCCACACCTTTACGTGGGAGGTTTGCGTTCAGTAAATAACTGCATTGGCATGCCTGCTGTGAGCCTACAAGTTTCCCTGAGCCTTAGAAATCAGGGGGAAACTATTCCTGACAGTACGCACAAGAAGGGGGCTTCAGAGGCCTGAGTCCCCAACCCCTGTCCCCAGAGTGAGGTCCAGGGGACAGAGGGAAGGGGCCTATGAAAGGCTTCCAGGCTGTCCTCCGGTCCCTGGGCCGCCTCCTGGGGAAGTGGGGTTCGAGCGCTGAACGATTCCACTTTGCTCCTCCTTGCAATGTGTGCGCACACGTGTATATGTCTGTGTATGTGCATCTATGTGTATTCAGGCAGCAGCCCATTCAGAATTCCCTTTCTACTCAGTCTTTCCTCCCTGTTGCCAGTGCACGGTGACACAGGCTCCTAAAGCCTTCGTGGGGGCGCCCTGAACACAACACCCTCCCCTCAAACTTCCTCTAGCTGCTGTCTGCACGACATACTTTCTCCCGTGGGGCTCAGCACCCCACGTAGCAATATGGGTCCACCCCGAGGAAGCAGTAGGCTACTCGGATAAGATTGCATTGAAGAAACAGTGAAGTTAAGGCTGCCCTATCTGTAACCCTGACTCACAAAACCCAGAAAACGCCTCTTGTTCTCTGCAGCGCCCTTCTCATCCCTGCCTGCCTCTTAGGGAATAGAGCCTTTTCCGGATGTTTGGTTTTTTTAAAATATGGCACCAACCCTTCTTTCAGGTGTGGCAAGCCGGCTGCTCGGGCCCTCGTTTGAGCCCTACCTGCTGCCCGAATTGACCAGATATGACTGTGAGGTGAACGTTCCTGTGCCAGGAAGCTCCACACTCCTGCAAGGAGGGGACCTTCTCAGAGCCCTAGACCAGGGCACCTGAGCCAGGGCCCCCCCGCCAGGGCAGGCGTCCCTTCCTGGCCATCCGCCAGCTTCACTCTCAGCATCTATTTTTGCAACTAGGTATCTCTAACACCAACACACTTTCTACAAGGTGTACCTACCTGGCAGACTCGCCCAGGTTACCCAGTAATGGCCTTTTCCTGAAGACGCTCACTTTAGCATCCATATTTTTAAAGCACACGGCTGTATTTTGCCTGCTGTGTTTTTACTCTGTCAATGAAAATGTTCTTAAGTTTTATAAGATTTCTCCCCCAACTTCAACTGCTTCTAATTTATATTATCCAGAGGCCTCTCTCTCTCTCATGCACACACAATATTCACACTAACAAGTTGGGTGTCTGTAGGAAAAGTTTTGGCTTTGTTGAACTAAAAGATATTTTGTGGTTGCCAAAGAGAAAATAATATTTGCTTTCCAAGCTTGATTTGTGGCCTTGCTCTCTCTCTCTCTCTCTCATGGCCCATCTCCTTTAAAACTAATCACTATATTGGTCATTTCAGCCTTTTGTTAAAAGCCCAACTCTCTGCTCTAATTTTGATGACTTTGGGTGAAAAATAAGAAATGTGAAGGGTGAACTCCAGTGTTTGTGCTGATCTGTGAGAGTTGCCCAGGGAGGCTTTTCCTAAACTCATTGGTGTTTTCTTCTCTCCCCACCACCCACCTTCAGTGGATTTTTTTTTAATTATTATTATTCAAAACCATAACTGAGTTGTTTTTTAAATTTATATCTGGGTTAAGTGTTTATCATATATATGGGTACTTTGTAATATCTAAAAAACTTAGAAACGGAAGTGGAATCCTGCTCACAAAATCACTTTAGGTCTTTGTAAGCCCTTTCCTGCCGACACCGCAGCGCTGTACAGCACCCCGGGCTGTGCCAACACCACTCAAGGTTGCTCTGTGGGCTTCTGCTGTTGGGCTCTGCCGTAGCGTGACAAACAATCCAAGGAGTGGAATCATTAAGTGGGAGCGTTGCCAGCTGTCTTTTCCTCGTGTGTGCTCTGTGTATTATGTATGTATGTATATATTATTATTACTGCCAAGAGGGTCTGATGGCACATCAGGGGTTAAGGGTGTGGGGCTGGGCAAATCCAAGGGAGAGGAAGTGCTTTAGCTTTTCTTAAGGTCTTGTTGCTGGCCCTTCAAGTGCACTGAGCTATGTGACTCTAATGGGCTTTCACATGGCACACGGGGGTATTTCTCACCCTACCCTGAGATGGTTTTGATGGGAATCCACGAATGAAAGGAAGGCTTCAGAAACGGGGTAGCGACCCAGGCCATATCTTCCCAGCTGACCACCTCGGAGCACATGGAGCTGGGCTGAGAGAGGGGCCGCCGGTGCTGACCAGCCTGGCCCAGTGCCCTTCCTCAGATCACCCTGCACGGCCGAGGTGCGGGGCCCCAGTGGTGAGCAGCAGGCACACCCAGGGACAGCCCAGCCCCAGGCCCTCCCGAGTGTGTGTGTCACTTGAAGTGACGTGTATAGGTAGGAAGCACTGGAAATAGTGTTCTCAGAGCACTTTAACTCACTGTGTAAAGAGGGACTACACCTTTGGTTTCCAAACACCAATCACATAGAACTCATCTGTCCTGGGCACCAAGATGTTTCTAGAAACACACACCCAAAGCACAACAGGCCAAGCATTGGGCCAGCCTGGATGGACTCATTGTCAAAACACATTTAAATTTCACAAGAAATCGGAAGTTATATGAGAAATGGTTATCTGCTCAGTGTGTTGGCCAAATGTACGTAAGTACCGCAGCTTTGCCCCGAGTGGCGTGGCAACGGAGCCCCGAGGAGGGCCATGGCCAGAGAAACTGGGGTTGGATTCCCGTGTGCACGGCCTCACCGTGAGGGTAGCTCACCCTTGCAGTTTTACTAAAACACTCTGAGAAATATTCCGAGCTTCAATATTAACTTTACCTGTCAATGTAACGATTTCATGTACATTATTATTTTGTTGAATTCCTACTGACATTATTACTGTATGGGAGCTTAACTTTATAAGGAAATGTATTTTGACACTGATATCTTATTAAAGTATTCTGATCCTACCCCGGCTGGTGGCTCGCGTTTCCTGTGGATTTGTGGTGGGTCACCCTGACAGGGAGCAAAGTATTAAATAGTTTCCCAAAAATGGACATTGGCAATGACCTTCGGGAGGCAAATGAGGCCAGCCAACAGGAGAATGGGTGAAGGGAGGGAGACTAATATTAATGCTTGGCAGCTGCCGAGACTAAAGGCCATGTTACCCCATCCATGTTTCTGTCTGCCACTGGCCCTTTTCGTAGCCAATGGGGAAAAGGCAGGTTCTTGCTTTCAGGAAACTACATGAAGCACTTGGAGAGCCTGGCAAGACTGCGTGTGAACACTCTGGGCTCTCACAGTCAGAAAGTACCTCAGTCGGGTAGAATGTGACTGGGAAGGAAAAGAAAAGAAAAAAAAAAAAAAAAAAAAAAACAGCCAGAGACAGAGCACATGAAAGCTCCAAATTGGACATGCGCATGATGATGGGTTCCCCAGTTCAAATTTTCCTTTTCCAAATCATGAATGGCTGAGGAACAGCCATCTCCACGGTATGATTGGGGGGACTAAGGGAAGACTCGGCAGCCGCCTCTGCTTACAATCACGCATTGCTTTGCATAGCAGACCAGTCCACACAGTGTGGTCTCCCGCTTACCTTATTAGCTCTCTTGATCCTCACACTGGGAAATCCTGTGAACACCCACTTCACAGATGAAATCGTAGAGTTGAGTGGCTTCCACAAGTCACACCCTATTAATGGGAGAAATGAAATGTAAGCCTATTTCTCTCCTCTCACACCCAGAAGAAACACCACTTCCCTTATCCCTTTCGTCACCTCCCCTCCATTTCCCTGCTTCCCAGGAAACTTCCTGAAAGAGTTGGGTATGACTATAGTCTCTAACCCTAACCCCTGCCAGATCATTTCTCAATCCACTCCCATCAAGCTACTGTCCTTAGCTATCCACGGAAACCTCTGTGGTCAAAGTTGATGGTCATCTCCCTGTGGCCCAACCCCAGAGCCAATTTCTCTCCTTATCTGGCTCCGGCATGACTTCTACCAGCACATACATCGTACAGAGCTCATTCTTAAGACTCTATTCTTTGCCTAAGCTCTTATCTCAGAGGTATATTTCACAATTGATTTCAGAGAGGAAGGGAGAGGGAGAGAAAAATATCAATGACGAAAGAGAATCATTGATCATGATTGGGGATCAAGCCCACAACCCAGGCATAAGCTCTGACTGGGAATCGAACAATGATCTCTTGGTTCATAGGCCAACATTCAATCACGGACCCACCTTGGCCTGGCTCAGAGGTATTATTTCATCCAATCTCATGGACAGGTATAACTTGCCTATTGTTGATGCACAGATTTATATTTTTAGTCTTAACCCTATGATGTAAGGACTATTAGCATGTTTCTTTCACATGAAAGTTGACAGGCTCTCAGACATTAAGGGGCTTCCCCAGTGTTACACAACTAGAAACTATAGAGCCAGAATTCGAACCTGGCTCTTACTCTGTTTTCATTGCCAAATAGAACATTTCTGTCTTTATTACTTTAACCTTTAGACCTCCGTCTGATTCTTTTTTTTATTCTCCTCATCTCTTCCCTTCTCTTGGTGGGGCCTGGACCCTCACATTGGCTTCTTTGGGCTCTTCCCAGCTCCTATCTCCTTTGCCTACCATCTCAGACTTTCTGAAAACCTCACTGTTTAGGGTTTTGTTTTGTTTCGTTTCGTTTCGTTTTGTTTCTGAAGCTGTTCTGTGACACTTCTCAGCCAGGCCTTCAGCAGCAGAATTGCCTTTGAACATTGTCAAGTTCAGGACTCAGACATGGATGGGCACCATTCTGGAACCCAGCAACTTTAGTGGGCTGTGGGTCTACAAAGCATCCTTGGGTAAGGCATTGGCCTTAACCACCTGAAGGCTGTGATTGTGACCTCCAGCCCCTGGGCATGGAGGCAGCTCCAAGTTCTTTACTTACAAGTCTAGCAAGGGGGTGGGGAGTGGGGAATGCACCGAAGGCCATTATCTCCAATGGATTACAGGAGCCTGGCCTCTAGAAGCATCCAAGCCCAAAATAAGCTCTCCCTACTTCCTCCATGTTTTGTCTCAGGTAATCAGTGAAGATGGACTGAAATGCTTCTGATTTTCTTGTAGGCAGTCACAAGCTGAGCAAAGATAGACCAGGTATGGGAAGCCCCTGGTGTCTAATAATGGACAATCAATTATAGGATGGAACCTTGCCACCAGGGTGATTTTTTCCTTCCCTGACATATCACTGGTCATGAGGTCTGGACCCTTGACCTTTCCTCCCTAGAGATAACATCTATGCCTCAGTTGTATTTCAGCTCCAGGCCCAGATAAGCAACAAAACCAGCCACTGCTGATATCAGATCCAGTTGCATTGAATGACCTTCTGCACTGGGGTTGACCAATCAATGAATGGAGACCACAACCCTAAAAGGGTACACCTGGAAAGCTACTGAACATTCTGTAAAGTTCTAAAATCTCCACCCTTAAAATCTTTAGGACTGAGGATCCGTGGGCTCTCCTTCCCTGCATCCTGGCCCCAGGGGCATTACCATTAGCTTCTTCACTTTGTTAAAAGGACAAAAGTTTTTCCTCTTGTTTTCCATAAATAAAGAGACTTATTTTCTTTAAGCAATTTGGTGAATTACATATTTTTCTCCCTACCTTATCCCTTCAGAATTTGGCAATACTTAATGAGTCATAGCAATACATTTTTTATATGAATTTAATAAGACCAGTTCCCAATTATGGTTTTATTAACCAAGACTCTGACTGGAATGTCATGTTTAAGTGAGACATGAAGGAATGAGGCCCATTTTCCTCACAATATGCAAGATTCAACTATTTGCATCCTGCTCTCCTCAGCCCTTGCCCATCCTCTGCTTTCTGTGAAAAAGGACTTTTATCAGGAGGCCTGCCT